GACAAAACCAACCTAAATATTGATCTTTATTTATCCCCTATCCTAAACCTGACCTCAGATCATGCATTAGTCACTTGAGAGCAAATTCTGAATCTGAATAAACTCCAAACATCACTAAATCTTTCATTATTTCTCTCTTCTTGTGCAGTTTGAGCCTGGTGTTCTGGAGGCTTGCCTGCAAATGCTGCAAGTCAGCCCTCAGCACCAAACCAACAAAAGAATGGACTACCTGAACCGAAAGAACCCCGTATACATCGGCCGGGTCGTGTCTGCCATGGTGAGTGCCAACAGATTCATATTAACAAAACCTAAACATATAAACTTCAAGATATAAAAAAATCACCATGGTTCTGTTTCACCAATGTTTTGATATTGACTTAATGTACTAACGTTCTTCTGCTGGTTTAAAACATGTCATGGCTTGAATTGGGAAATTGCAATCTCTCCTTCAAAGTTCTGAAGGGTCACATGCAGGCACACTGTTATTACTGCAGTGCAACTCTCAATCAAAAATAGTTATTAAACTGTCACAGAGACTCCTCTTAAAGATGTGAGATGCCCCAGCTTGCTTTATAATATATGGAAACTAAAAAAAAAAAAAGGGAGCAACTACAATCATCTTCCCTTTTTATGTTCAGATCAACAGTGAAGATGACCGCGGCGTGTTGAAAGGGAAATGGGCCGGTGACTTCAAAGAGGGGGTGAACCCCTCCTTGTGGACGGGCAGTGGTGACATCCTGACGCAGTGGGCTGAGTCTGGTTTCAAACCAGTCAAGTACGGGCAGTGCTGGGTGTTCGCAGCCGTCATGTGCACAGGTAATTATTTAATGATGCTGGAGAAAAATCATATACAAACTGTCTGCCAAGAACTAATTGTACTGCATTTTTTGGTAAACAGTAAACAGTTATTAACCACTTAAATATGACGTCATGATTGATGTCTTATCAGTGTTGCCGCACACCAGATAAATGTGTTCCCATCACACAGTGTTCAGATATTTTTTATTAGGGTGTCGACTTATGAGTCATTTTTATTACGTCTTTCAGTGATGAGAGTTCTTGGCATTCCTTCCCGTGTCGTCACAAACTTCAACTCCGCTCACGACACAAATGACAACCTGGTGATTGAGGAGTTCTACAGCGAAACGGGGCAGAAGCTGAATCGCAGCAAAGACAGCATATGGTCAGTAGTGACTTAACTATTGAATCTGTTCACACGTCAAATGTGTTTTTGTTTTATTGATCTTTGTATAGTAAAAAAAGAAAATGTATTGGTGAGTAAGAAACTAATAATTCAAAAACTCCAACATGTTTCAACATTGTTCAGCCCAGCACTTTTGTTTCTTAAAAAATATATAAAATAAAAGGATAGAAAGGTAATATTGCGACCAAATGCACAAAACTCCCCAAAACACACCCCAAAGCCCCCATCCCACACACTGGCTTGATGAGACATATGCAAATGACATTGATGAGATTTATTTAATTTTCTCACAAAAAAAACTATATTCATGTTCTCTTATAACTTATTCTGGCTCTTCTTCTACAGGAACTTCCATGTGTGGGTGGAGTGCTGGATGACTCGCAGGGACCTGGGCTCTGGGCTGGAAGGCTGGCAGGTTCTGGACCCGACCCCCCAGGAGAGAAGCGGAGGTGTGTGTGAAACCTTGTTTTCCATTTGGGAGAAACTCCTCACTTCTTTGGTCCTGTTTGAACATGTTTCCTTGAACAAACATCCCTATAAATGTATTTTCTTCCCTTCTCTTTTCCCAGGAGTGTTCTGCTGCGGCCCAGCTCCAGTCAAAGCAGTCAAGGATCGGCGGATTGACCTGATTTATGACATCCCCTTTGTGTACGCCGCGGTGAACGCAGACGTCCACTCTGTCATACTGAGCGAAGGTAAGGTGGTCAACTACAGCAAGGACACAGAGAGAGTGGGGTCCCTCATCTGCACCAAAGCTATCAGCTTCCCCAGGCTGCAGAACATCACAGGAGACTACAAATACATCAAAAGTATGTATCAAAAATGCAAACTCATTCAATTTGCTCAATTGTTAATTCAGAGATGTGGTACATTGTTCACTCCAAGGCATGAACACTCACCATTTTGATCTATTTTTTCAATAAAGGCCCAACTTCAACAATTTCATCGAGAAGTTCCAGAATGTCAGAGGACTCAACGTTACGCAGAGGTAATTTAGAAGTTTGAAAACATAAATCAGATTTGTCATCTTTAAACGCATGTAATCTCACACTCTGGCTTTCTTCATGTTTATTTCTCAGGCTCGTCCAGGGGAGTGTTGGTGGTCCTGAGCCTGGACAAAACTCCTGTTGCCGGGGAGCCTGCCTGCTTCACGGTGAAAGTCATCAACAAGCAGAGGGTTGCCAAGATGATGAAGATTCATCTCAACGCCCAGGCCAAAGAATACAACAATAGCCCCTCAGACACCTTCTGGGAAAGTCATGGTGTTGTAAAACTGGGACCCATGGAAGGTACAAATCCACTATACGCTTGAATACAGACTCACAGTTTCATTTCTCAAAGGCGTATGTGGTTACATCTTTCTGCTCTTGGTATTTCCAGTCAAGGTGATTCAGCAGCAGATCACCCCGGTGCAGTATGAGGACGTGGTGGGAGACAACCTGATCAACCTGGCTGTGGTCCTGGAGGACTCGAACAGTAAGGAGCGGGTCATGGCGTCGGAGGAGTTCAACATCGCCAGCCCTCAGCTCATCATAGAGGTACTTTTAAGTATTCAACATGTTTTTAATATGAATTAAACAAATTTTACTAAAAAACACAACTATCAAATCAACCAGCAATATCAAATATGTAATCATAATAATACTTGTGGTATTGAGGTGCTCAAAGACATAAAAATAATAAATAAATAAATAAAATAGATGCTACACAAAGGAGTAGTGTACGGAAGCCACGTAGATTGGGGGTTTCCAATCCTCAGACTGTGCACTATTCCACTGAACCCCCCTTGACTTCACTAATGACATTACAAGCTCTCCCCTCTTTCGACATGTATTAGTTTATGATTTTTGGAAAGTCAGGAAACAATTCCCCAAAAATATGCCAAATTACAAACATGTTGGCTTTTCTATAGTACTCTTTTTTTTTTATTGCTGCAGGACTAGCTGTATGCCATTTTTCTTAACATCCACTGGCTAGGGAGACTCACCTTATCTTTAAAAGTCAGATCTAATCCAGAATATTTACGTCTCATGTGTGATGGTGAAGTAGCAAAAAACAACTCTTAGGTGTGAGGATTTTATTCAATATATTACGTACTTTAAAGCTGTAGAAAGTACATGCATATGGACATTGGTTTACTTAAGTGCTATTTAAGGGCTCATTTACTTCAATCATCTGGGTTCATTAACACATGTTTCCCCTACAGATTACAAAGGAAGAATCCATTGTGCTTGGCAAAGAGCAGACTGCCACAGTGACCTTCACAAACCCATTTTCTCACATGGTGAGCGGAGTACTGAATGTAGCCGGGGCCGGGCTGATCAAAGGAAAGGTTCACTTCAGGTGAGGAAGATTTCATGCCTTCATATTTGTTTCCTTTTTTACGTGTTGAGTGCATATCATGTGTGGTTGCAACATTATAAAACTGAGGAATGCTTAAATAAAGGAGTGTCACTGTGTATCGTACATAACAGTACAGTTTGTCTTTATTGGAGGAATGTGAGCTTGTTACACTTGAATTGTTCTGCTTATGTTTACCTTCAGGCAGGCGTAGCTAGGATAATCCACAAAATATTCCACTGTTGTGTGAACGCAGCAGATAGTTATTGACTGGCATTGAAGTGTAATTATAGGCTGCTTGATAACAGGAAGTGTTGAATTAGAAGACATAAACAACATGTTAAGACATTTACATGGTTAAAACGTATAATTGTAGCTTAGCCGTCACAAGTTAGCGTCAGTTATTGCAAACAAGGAATAGTAGTAGTATTTTTATATTTTGTTAACTTTTTGTTGATCTTATTACAGGATGCTTCCACTGTGTCCAGGAGGAAGTGTGAAGCAGAGGATCACCTTCATCCCCAGCAAGCTGGGAGTAAAGATGCTGCAGGCCAGCCTGGCTCTCTCAAACATCAACTCCACCATCAGAGGCTTCCAGATGGTCTCTGTCTGCAGGGCCTAAATCCTGCTTTGTATACCTTTTTTGTTTGTGTGTCACATCATACTTGCTTACTGTCAGCATTGTTGAAATTCTGTATTTATATTGTAAAAAGTAATCCGACTGATGCCAGAACAGTTGCAGTGGAAACATTCAGATTACTGTCAACCTTTATGTTTTTCTGTTGCTTTGTATGGTATAAATGTGAATGAAAATTATATATATTTTTTTATAAATATTTATGTTGCTATTTTGTGTTCAAGCCTTGAAAATCCACATATTTCACAAACTGGAATCAATGTGTTATTTGATTTGTATGAAAATAAATAAAATAATTAAAACAATTTATTCTGTAAGTATGCAGTTCTCTTTCTGCCCTGAAGGGGGAGATCTTTGTCTAAAATAGGTCACTGCAGTTCAGTCTGAATGAGATGCTTCTCAGACCTCTTGAGATTACATGTAGTTCACAATTTTTGTTCATCTGTTATTTAATCCCTCGTGTCGAATGCCTCCGAGTTGTGTAACTTTGTGAAATGAAATGAAACTCGGCTCCCTTTTCCCAAGAATGAAATTAATTTATTTTTATTCATCTATTTAACTGTCTGTCAAAACAAAATCGACAATAAAGCATTATATACAAATCATGGCTAAACTGAAAGGCAGTGTAATCGGCACATGCACAACCATACCAGTTCATCTATATTACAAACAGGTTATTAGGAAATGAAACAAAGACAGGAAAGGAGAGTTAAAACATGACAACATATACAACCCAGAGTCAAAAGCAAGGATTCAAGCACCGGCCTATAATACAGCGTCTGCAAGACAAAACATTTTTACATAAGCACATTTTTGGTCTTTGAAGGGGATGTTTTTATGCCAAGCTCCCAAACTGTATACCTCATTGTGTTGAATTTAACAAATAATAAATAGCTCACATATTAATGGTAAAATACAAATCAAACTATTTTCAATAGCCTCTACCTATGAAGAGAATATTATTTGTCTTTTATCTAGACAAAATATGAAATTTAAACAATTCTAAAATAATAGTGAAGGAAAAATCTATCCCATGTTATAATATACCTTTAACCCTCGTGTTATCCTGTTAAACCAATGTTTGACGTATCTAAAAAAATGGTCACATCATTTCTTTGCTTAGTATTTCATGACTTTTCCTAATTTAGTGAGGACTAGTGGGTAAACATCAAATGAACATGAAGATCTTTTTTAAATGTCCTGTACGCACTTTGTACGCATCGGTGTTCCTTGGGGTCAATTTGACCAAAGGCTGTTTTGGTAGTATAAAACATATAAAAATGTCAATATTTTACTCATATTTGTGTTGATTGTGTAGGATGATATTGAGGTGACTATTACATTTTTTTTTAAAACGACCCTTTGCTTTAGTTATTGGTCCTTTAATAAAATTAAAAAATATCTTACTTTAACATTTTATTTCAATCAGTGAGATTTGATGGTGATTTATATATTTTTTTCGATAGTCACATAATAGGAATTCTGGATGTACTGTATAAAGGGGTCTGTAGGGGGGAAGGTTGGGGTAATGTTTTATTTAAATGGTTATTTAGGTAGTCAACCAAGACACCTAAAGCACCAGAAACATACATGTTGGTTAAAATGTTGAATATGATCATTGTCTTGAGTTTTAAACTACTGGGGTCAGAGGATAAAGGGTGTAAAGTCAATTTGAGGATAACAGGAGGGTTAAGTCTTGTTTCTAATTTCTTCTGTAACAGCATTGGTCGGTGGAAAACAGGTTTAGTCTCATAACAAATAAAAAAAGGCAAAACAAATCCAATCCAACAAGTTCAATAAACAGGATGTACAGGTTTGCATTCAGTGCATCACTTTCATAGTGTGGACAAAAGTGGGACACCTTTCATAAAGTTGAGATGAAGCAAATTTAAAAGAAGAAAAAAAACGTTATTAAAAAGTATTTGCAGTATTACCCATAGTTCCCTGGGCTAGTTATGAAGCTTTGGTCCCTTATTTGTCTTTGGTCTTTTTTTCGGTCCAGCGCTTTTGGCCTCATGTTGATGTCTCAGAGATAAACTGCAGCTCCAAATCCTCACAGTTCCTTTGGCTTTAAAGTGAGTTTGTCCTCCTGCGTGTTGAAAAAGCAACACTGACTCTGAATCAGTCTCTCAGGGGCGGATTCGTCCACTAGCTGCTCTCAGGAGGTCAGGAGCTTCTCATGGTTCTGGTGGAGGAGCGGAGAGTGACGGCTGCGCCCTCTAGAGGTAGTCCAGCTCCAGTGCATGGCTCAGAGCCTCCAGATCGGCCCGACAGGAAACCCTCCAGAACGGCATGTTCTTCTACAAAAAAAAAATCAAAATCTATTATATCTAGGTTTAATGTAAAACATGCAGACTTAAGGCAAGTTGCAGCACTCCTGCAGATGCAGTGCAGATGTGAATAATGGACTGCGGTTTTGAAGGGGGATTACAGTGTGTGACAAAGTACATGTGGATAAAATGTTGGCCTTTAATGCACAAAAGCCTAATGTCTGCCAAGTTTAAGAAAAAGTGTGACATTTCAATGAAAAGGTTAGAGTGTTAGAGTCAGACACAGAACCTTCAGAAACCAAGTGTCTCTTAAAAGTTAACTGATTAATTGAGGCCATTTTTCAGCAGTCACAGTTGTAAAAAAAACAGATTGAGTTATACCTTCTTGGCTACGGACTCTTCTTCCGCTCCATCTCCTATCACCACATACACCGCTCTCCGACCGAACCTCTGAGAGACACGCTCAAAACAGCTCTCTTTGCCTTTTAAGAAAGTTAAAACATTAAAATAGCACATTTGAGGAAGGATATTGCTATTATCAGGAACAATGTTTTCTCCCTGAACCCATTTCCCCTATATTGCCCTCACCTGTCTTTGTGGCACTGTATATGTTCTCTATGGGGAAAGCAGAGCCCAGACCGTACAGTAACACCTTGGAGAGCGCTGGGATGAGCTGGGTGGTGGTCACCAACACATTCACACAGTTAGGCCTGGAACAGGACAGGACACACACGTTAGTTATGACACCTTGAAGGACATTTAATGGGATATGGAGAAAAATCACAAAAATACTAAATACTGTACAGCTATCAGCCAATAGTAAGTGAGCACAAACTGACCTGGAGTTGATGAGAGCCAGAGCTTTGAGAGCTTGAGTCAGCCACAGGTCGGTCAGCACCTCCATCTCCCTCCTCAGCTGTAACCACTCCTCTCGCTTGGGGCTGCCCATCAAACCTGCCCATCAGGGAGAAAAAAGTATACGGTCAGTCTTTGAGGCCAAACAGGGAGGACGTGAGCCTTTACAGCTCAAATGCGTAAAGAAATGTAATTATTTCAGAGAGGTTACAAAACCTTATTTTGACAACAATCAGCAGCGCACAAAGGTCTTTATTCAACAACAATTTCTGACTAATAATTCTAAATGACAATTGAATGTGCGTCCTTTTTTTTTGCTATTTTATGGCAATTGAATGAATAGGTGTCAGTAATCAACCATATTGCTGTTTGTTGTTAAAATACTCAAATCATCTTCAACACGACTAAAGGTTTGGTTAATGCACCAGAAAAGAGAAAAAAATGATTCTGATTAAATAGGAACTTTTATAACTTGATACCAGCTAAAGGAAAGAAAAATAAATCAGAATAATCCAGAATAATCTCTGTGATCTGAAGTTGAGCTATGTTCAAATGTACGGTAACTGCATCTGGTGTTGAGCAGCAGTTAATAATGTATATGTATCTATAGTGATGAAAATGCATCTTTAGCTTTCTTTTTAATAATAAAAAAAAAAAAAATACAACCGGAAATATATCAGAGCAAAATAATATTTTTTCTTTTGCAATTTGATATATTAGAAAGGGCAATCATTTTAAATATTACATTTGATTATCTTTTTATTTAAAACAAAACAAAATTGTCAAAATAATCATAATGTTATGTTAGATTTGAAAATGTGGTTGCTCTTACAAAAAGACAAATCTGAATATTCAGTTTTCCGGTCGAATGTTAAAAACAATGTGAGCGGAGCTTACCCCCAACATTATTATTGTATGTGTTGTACATCTCCTTGACTCTGCGGTATCTAAAAGCCAGTTTCCTCATCCAGTCCACTCCTCCGTGAACCCCCGACCCCAGGCACAGAGAGCCGGCCCCCGCTGGGCTCTGGAAGCCGTCCGACCCAAAGTTATAAGTGCTGCAGGATCACAAAACAGGGAGCCGTCAGGTTGTAGATCACAAAGGAGCAAACTGCATTTCTCCAGAGCACCTTATAGAAGCACTATCATTGGTGTTTCAGGGGGGAAGCTATAGGTACAACTGTATTCATGGATAACGTTTCTAGCTCTAGGAATTGATTCAAGGTTCAGGTTATAGAATGTAGAATGTAGTACTCAAACCATTCATCACATTAAGGGAAGTGTGCCAGTGTAACCACAAGAATTTCAGGAATAAGAAACCCTGTAAAATTGGAAATCGTTGAAACTGAGTTTTGAATAAAAAAGCTTTGTCAGTAAGAAACCATGAAGTACTGTTTATACATTCAGCGAGGGCAGTATAAATATTAAAACATCTTTGAGAATGAAAAGGGCCAAGTGTAATATAAGAAAAAGGTACTTCGGTACAGTCTGGCTCTTTCTCAAATCACCCCTAAAAGTATCCTAAAGTGCTACAGCAATAAAACGTCTGGAACGAGGAAGACAGAGGGAATGACAAAGAAATATTTTGATGAGATATGAAAGCGTTGGATAATCCTCTGACATATTATATGGCTGTGGAAGTCGGGGAAATAAAAGACATGCACACACACAGACACGCACAAACTCTTTGTCTCATCTCCCTGCTTTTTTCCCTTCCTCCTGTGCACTAAAACCCTTGAGGGCAAGTCTGGTTCACGAGCCAGTAACACAGCAGCAGCACTTTACCTCAGGTCCTGTCCGTTGTCATCCGATGCCACGTCATCAATATGAACCTGGTCGCATTCCTGGGAAATGAAAAAGAGAGCGGATATATCAAGAGATCCATTTCAGAGTGGAGCGCTGTACGGGCAGGTCTGTCCTCTTTAGGGGAGCCTGCGGGGGTGATAGCAGCTACAGGAATACAAATAAAAAAGAGCTCAAATAAAAGACAAGGAAGAAGGAAATAAGGTATTGGGACACAGGACCGCGAGGCGCCAGACATACAGGACAGTCAACATGACTGTGCAATGCTGGTAAACCACGCCGTAAATTCAAGTTAATCAGATTTTCTTTTTTTTTTACTGCGTACTTTTTTGTTAAAAGAATCCTCTGAAGAAAGACTCATTGTCTTTTTGTTCCTCTCTACTGGATGCTTCAGGAACCAAAGGCTTTCAAACCACACTATAGCTTAAAATAATTGCTACAAACAAAAAACCTTCAGCATTATGCAGTTCAATCAGAAACAAATAAAAGAAGTCACTAAGATTGGAAATGAAGAAAACTAAAATATGCCCCTTTTCATGATAAGATAAAGATAATAAGATAAGAAGTATTCTTTTTTTATTGATCCCAATTTTGGAATTGTTGCAGCAGCATAAAAAGACATGGCGTTATCTCAATAGAAATAAGATAGCGTTAAAAAAAAGTGATAGTGGACCAGGAGGAAATACTCTATTTTTCAAACTAACATAACACACATCCATGCACACATTAGTGTCCTAGTCTAACTTCTAATTGTCTCCCAGCGACCCGGGACAGACAGGCTCTCCTATCACCTTTCAGCCCTCTTAAAGCCAGATGGAGACGCTACCTCATCTTCCCTCCATCTCCACATAACTCTATTCCCAGGGGCTTCAACCCACCGTCCACTCAGGTGCCATCCGCCCCTGCAGAGCAGCTTCTACTGACCATACAATACAAACGAGCCCTTTAGAGCTTTATAGGCTCTGAAACTCAGAGCAGCTACACTCGGGGCCTCCAGAGCATTGTCATTTTAATCCAGTAATAAGACCTTCAACTCAAGTGGAATACAGCCATACAAATCTGCTTTTTTGTATAGGAACATTTCTACTGGAAATTCTGACTTTGATTATAGCAATTATTTAATCTCTTCTGGTAGTACTTGAGTTATGACAGCAGCGATAACCCTCAGCGAAGCAGCTACTGACAGAGGAAGGACAGGATGATTGTACCTTAAGACTTAACAGCAGTTGCTTTAGAGATTTACTGAGCCCTGACAACAAAAGAGGGGGTAAGGACCGGGGTTTGCAAATGGCTTTGTTGGCTCCTTTCCCTTCTCTCAAATGTTCCTCCTCCCATTTGACTAATTTTCCTCTCCGATGCTCAGACACACACCTATAATTACTGCACAAAGTGTACTTGTTCTCTTTCTCCCTCCGTCCCTCTCTAATCTTTTTTCTTTGTCAGAACAAGGCTAAGGAATTCAACTTGAAAAACGTATAAACTTTTTCAGTCACTTACACGTAATAAAACCACATGGTCATCGTTTTGTAGAGGTTGCACTAGTGTCTTGGTTTTGTCTAACTGTGCACTTAAGCCAGCCTTTAACAAAAACTCCTTTTCATATTCCTGCTAAACTGAGGAGGGCAAATTATTTGGAAAATTGAGTAGTACGTATTAATACATAAAGAAGTTGTGTGAGGGGATTTCCACTGTGCATTTAAGAAAACAGCAGCCAAATGTAAAACCTGTTTCCATGGGGAAAGTAACGGCAGCTAACGGTTGGATATTTTCTCACAGCTGATATTTCCTGTCTTTCTTCAAATACACCTTTAAGTGGCAAAAAACTGAGATAACAGGCAGCATTTATTATAAAATAAATAATAAGTAAGGTTTTTGTGTAAAGTAACGCATGATGTGCAGTATAATGGTTTAACGGGGCAAACAAACAAAGTTAAAAATAAAAATGAAATTGAGTAATTCTCTGAACATGCTCACAGGTTTTAAATGATGAGTCAAATTTAAACTCACCTCCAGGTCGTTGAAGAAGAGTCTGGAGTCGGCCAGGTTGAATATCATCTCCTCCATCCACAAACCGAGAGACACCGCCTTTGAGGAGTCCTGAACACAGAGACACACATTCTCTAAAATGAATAACTTTAAAAGCCACACTGATAATAATAATAATCATGACAACATTTAATCAAGGGTCAATCAAGGATATGTATGTATTTATGTCCTGAGGCATGGTAACACATTTCCCCTCAGACACAGTCAGCTCTCTTATTGTTTACTATAGCCTGACAGGTCAGAACAACATCTCGAATCATTTCAGGGCCGCGCCCCCTTTTAATAGAGCATTTTTTTAAATAAATTCAAGTGTTCATACTGAGATTGATAGCTTTAGAGGTTTGGTATTTAGAGAATAATGAGTTAGTTGGATTGTTGAACATCATTACTTGTCACTTCCCACCTTGTCAGTGCCGCCGCCTGCTTGTCTCTCCTAACAGATTTCTTTTTCATTTCCTTTTTCAAACTCATCAACTGGATTGACATAAGCAGGTTTCAGGGAGGGGCCAGTGTTAATATGTATCTGTCAATCAAACTATGCAGATTGTTATCTCCACTAACTATTTTCTGACCTATTTGTTTTGGTTCTCTTCATTTAGTCTAGTTTTTTCCCTGTACTGCACCTTTTCCTTATTCAAACTATGCACATATAATTTAAATCATTAAGGCCATTGCACTATTCAATTGAGTAAGCAAATAAAACAATTAGGAAAATATTTGTATTCATAAAATAAGCAAGTTTTTTATTTTCTCCATTCGATTTTTCCTTAGCTTGAAATGAATTAATTGACTGGCTGTGACTGACTGGAATGATGATCAAATCCATAAGAGTATCTTAAACAAAACAGTAAGTCTATGAGATTTAACTACATAACTTAATTGGATTTAGCTACGTCAGTACGTTTTGCTCTGTGTTTATGGCGGCCTTTAACCTTTTTCGTTGTGAAATGTAGAACATTTACTCAAGTACTCGACTTAAGTATGATATTGGGCTACTTTTCATTTTGTTCTACTTCATACTCCTACTCCACTACATTTTAGAAGCCAATATTGTACTTTTCACGTCAATAGATTTATCTAACAGCTTAAAGAGCCTGTGACACGATTTTCCCCCATCATCCAAACCCATCAATTTGAGTAAATATTGTCCCCTTGAAAACCGTTACTGAACTGATTTTGGATATTTGTACTTTGATAACCATTAATCTGCCCTTCAATGTTGACCATTTCCTGGATCTTCTCGGGGATTCTTCAAGTCCCGCCAAATTATGGGTGACGTCAATGCGGGCACAGCACTCCAGCTGCACCGTTCAGGATCCNTGCACTGCCAGACGTGTCCCCCTGCTTAAGAGAATGTCATCCAGAACATGTCCAGGCCCGTCTGAAGTTTGCTAGAGAGCATTTAGATGATCCAGAAAAGGATTCTTTTCTGGATCATCTAAATGCTCTCTAGCAAACTTCAGACGGGCCTGGACATGTTCTGGATGACATTCTCTTAAGCAGGGGGACACGTCTGGCAGTGCAGGATTTGAGTCCGTGGCGGCGTTTTTAGATTTAAAATGTTAGATTTAGAATGAGATTCTACATGTTCATATATTGTTGTAATACCAGGGTACTTTTTTCTAAACATTAAATACAGCTCGAATGCTTACCTGCCACTTCTGAATAGGAGCGTCATAACAAGAGCATGAGGAGCTCTTATTTTGGCCCCATATCTGAGAGGAAGAAAATACACACAATAATGTCACTGCTGAGTAGAAACACAACAAGGTCAAATATTATCGTAGTATAGTACTAGTGTAGTTAATAAAACCTGCAGTTAATACTATTTATTAACTTAAGTTACCACACTGGCTCCAGACAACTACATTTAGTCACCACTGCTCAACTACAGCTGATAAGAACGGTGAGCTGGTCTGTGGTAAATAAGTACACCGACGTTATTGTAGCTTAGCTAGTTTGTTATTTAATGTTTTTACTCACACGGCGCCATTTCTGAATCCTTTCAACACGGCCAATGCCGCTTTGTACTTCTCCTGCTGAAGAAGATTATTGACGGTGTACAGAATAGTTTTTATCAGATCAGGACCTGCCATGACTTCCAACAGAGCCCACCGGACACAAAACAGAGTTGCACACACATTCCAGAGAGATGTGTCACAGTGAAGACTCGCCGAGATGCACCATTATAACCATGGTTCCTACGCACATTCAGTTTACCAGGGGGACTTAACAAAAAATATCTCCGCCGTTTTGTGAATTAACAAACTAAACTGTGTTTTAAAGTATATAATGTAGCCTATATATTTTATCTCAAGAGTGTACCTTTACTTTCTGTGTTATTAATGTTGGCATAACAGTTTTGTAGTGGTGCAAGACATATTACGAGTAAACTGTAGCCTAACAGTAACTATAGTGCAAAAATACTCCGCTTTATGTAACGATATCACATTCAAAATGTTCCTTACGTATTATCATTATCATCAGAATATACTGAATGTAGCCTACTGTACACTTTATGCTGAATGGGCTTTTTCTAAATCACGCCTACTAGACTTTAGAGCTTATGACATTTCTCAACATCCTTGTATTTAAAGGTCCCATGTCATGGCCATTTCTACTGATCATAATTCCATTGTTGAGGTATGCTAAAATAGATTTATATTGTGCAATTTACCAAAAATCGCATTGGTTTCTCATACAGCATCTCTGTATAGTAGCCTATGGGTATTCACTCTGTCCTGGCTGTGAGACTGAGTTTTAGTATTAAAAAAAATATGGAGCCAAAGTAAGTCTATAAGTAGTTTGTTAAAGCTAATTGAGGGTGAACAGCATGCAGAATTTCCCCCTGTGTTTAGCATTATTGGAGCTTATTATTACTTTTCCATTTATGTGTAGGTTCAATTATTTTTTTTATAATTTAAGATGACAATGGTTGTGTGTATTGAGAATAAAAGTTATGTAAAGTGTGTGGGATATTGTAAACAAGTTTGGAAAATGTTGCTGAAATAATAATAAACACTTCACAATTGTCCTGCAGAAGCCCAGTGTTTAAATCATTTTATTACGGTTGTTTTTTTTCTCAATCAATCCAGCCCATTGTTACATGAAACCCATCTTCCAAATAAATAGTATTCAACCATTGACTTCTACTTATCAAAAAGAGTTGGAGCTCAAAAACAGTGATTACACTATCAACATGATTTACAATGCAATCAGTACAACTACAAACACTATTTTGCATATTTCTATAGCCTACATTAAAATGGCTCCATGATCTGGAACAAAGCAGTGATTAAACAGTGAAGTGGTTAATTCAACCAGTTGGAAGTGTCAAGGTGCTAAGTTATTCGTTGTTATCTGTTAAAATATTCAATAGTAAACATTTTGAAGGTTTTTCTGCAGTAATCTCATTTCAAATCAGCACACCAGTAGTAGCTTTATAGGTCTATGTGTGTGTATTAATCATACAGTCTATGGTATTAATGCAGGATAAAAATGTGAGATAATGTGAAACATAAGAGACTAATAGAAACCAAGTCAGCAGTAACTGGTTTTGAATGAGGGTCAATACACCCGTCAGGTCAGTGAGGGAGCACTTATAACAACCAGCATTTTGTGAAATGGCAATCGGCCACATTGTTCATACAAAATGTGTGGATATTTCATTTCATTCGTTACAGCTAACTTAAAGTAAATTAGCTGAAACACAACTTTTAATTAGGATTGTTAAATTATCTGGTGTACACATTGAAATTATACCACGTCATTTACACCACGCTGCTTACACACACACTACACAGCTTGATGCCGGGACAGTTACAAAATATCAATTTACAGATTCAAATTGTGTTCAGATTTTGTATTTAAGATTGAAGTAGCTAAATTGCTACCTTTTTTTGTACCTCACAGTGTTACCCATTAATATAATAAAGGCTAACTAACAACCTAATAGCGCCAACCAATGTGATATATAACAATTTAGGGGATGTTAAAAACTGCACTTTAAGACCTATACCTCAAATGAAGTCAAATGTTTTACAAAAAACCATTAAATAACATCCTTTGGTAGATTGGTTCCAGTCATTTACTTAAAGTAATACTCTACCTTAAATAAAAAATAAACTTTAAGCTTGAAGAAAACAGCTATTTTTGGAAAAGACATGAATTATTCTAATATACTTCTGTACAAATCTGAATACCTATCACCCTATAAAACTAGGGTCACTTATATTACATTAATCCTAATGGTCCACTTATGCCTGCAACTGTAAGGGGTCCACTGCTTGGGTGAACTAAATGTATTAAGATATTAAACATATTTCTACTTTATAAGTATATTTACAAAAACTGCATTAGTCACTGAACACATTAAACAGTTAGGATTCAGTATTTAACATCATTTAACTCTAATAATACTTAAGTCTGGACATCTACCAGAGAATTGGCTACCTTTCAGTGGGAATAATAGGTAATTATTCAACAAATCATTGTTCTCTTTTTCACAACACACGCTAGAACTCCCACTTCATTAGTAACAGATTATAATTCAAAACCAAGACTCTTTCAGTCGTCCTGACTGGTAAATAAGCTGATACTATTTACAGCACAGATTATTTTGGGAAGTTTTCTAATCATATCACAACCAAACAGGTTTCACTACGAACACTTGCAATAATGCAAATGTTCTCTATTTTATATTGACAATTCAAATAAGGAGTACATGTTGAAACTTACCAAAGTGTTATAAAATGATCAAACAAATCATTGCTTGGCTCTATTATTGGCATAATTGTTTCCTACAAAACTATTGCACATACAAATACAACCTCTCTTAAGAACAATCACAACCGGTCTTCCTGCTCACATAGCTATGTGCAAACTAGTTCAACTCATTATAAAGTTAAGAAAGCAACCTGTCGAAATAAGAGAAAGTATCATTACAATTAGCTCGATTTGTCAAAGAAAATGCATATGAGCTGCAGGAGTCAGTCAGTTGTTGAAATCATTCATCCTTTAAACCAAAAAAAACAAACAAAAGCTGAGCCTGAAAAAAACCCAAACCATACATGTGCCTTTGATGTTACTTTTAGATATGTACTTATTTTAAGTAAAAATGCATAAATATGGTTATTTTTCTCCCAAATGATTAATTCTAGTGTATAGACCTGTTAAGAAGTTACCACTGCACAGATTCACAGGTGAACGAGCAGAAACTGCACTTGCGCAACGTTCGGCGAGTGCAGACATGACAGGGTGAGGAAGGCGCCTCTTTCGCCATCCATCATGTAGGTGAGAAGTGAAACGTTGTGAGAAGGATTCACAGGTCTTTTGTAGGGTAAATGAATGTGTGACGAAATAGTTGTGACGGATACAGGGATAGAAAATAAAGATTTGTACGTCCATCACCAGTTTATAAGCAGCTCCTGGCTGCAGGGAGGTCATGTTAAAAAGTGCTCATGTCTGAAAAGGATATGGCTCCTCCAAGCCAACACTCCTCCATCCCATCCTTTAGCTCCTGCTCATTACTCCTGCCCAAAGCCTTCTGTCTCCTCGATGGCGAACATGAGCTTCTCCTTCAGCTGCTCGTAGCTCTTGTAGGGAGGGAGGTCCAGACGATTAAAGCTACAAAACAAAAGAGAAAGAAAACAAATGACTTTCCAGAGAAAACATTGATTTAATGTTTGATCGCCAACATTTAAACGTTGCATCTCATAACTAACAAGTGAAACAAATCCCTAAAATGTACAGATTTAGTCTGAACTGCAGATAAAATAAGTTTATAAAAGTCCCTTTGGTTCAGTGTTGTTAATGAAATTCTGACTTTCTTAAGTGAGAAATTATTTATTTTGTTTCAATTATTTGATTGCAATTATGTCCCTGCCTCACTAGTATCACATGAGGCTTCATAAGAGCATTGGCTAAGTAAACCCATATCAAACTGTATTATTCACGGTTTAACGACACATTCTCAGACAATAAATAAAACTTCAAATCTCAAATTAAAGCCTGACAATAAAAGGAGCCTGGTTGAATCAGATATGACTAAGAGGGTTTGGTCAAAAAGTGTTAATCCAGCAGGATTTGGACCTCTGGCAACATACCTGAAGCCTGAGTGAGGTTTTCTTAGAAAGTAGAAGAAGAATAACTGGCCTTACCATGTGTGGCTCCGTGGAAGCCAGTTCTCTTTACCCACTTTCTCGATGCAGAACTTTTGAGGGCCGTTGCTTCCTACATTTTTAAACAAGCATACGGAAAATTAAATCAAGAAATCAATTCTGAAGTGAGTATATACAGTGTGTGTGTGTGTGTGTGTGTGTGTGTGTGTGTGTGTGTGTGTGTGTGTGTGTGTGTGTGTGTGTGTGTGTGTGTGTGTGTGTGTGTGTGTGTGTGTGCGTGCGTGCGTGGACAACGGAAAACTGGAGGAGAAAACATGTACATATGTACCACACCCTCGCCGACGTTATACTCCTGTTGTACGGTCCATTCACAGCACCACACCACTCAGCTGCTCTAGTGTAGAGGTAAATTAATAGGCCCTTGGACCGGCAGGACTGTTNTTTGCGTGCCTGCTTCATAAAGCCAAACCGCGCGGAAGCCCCTCACATCGACAACAAAAACAATGGCAGATTGTATTGAAGCGCAACTCGTTTTGGTTTTGCTCCGTCTAAACTAAATGGAACAAATGGGACGAATTTACTACCAACTTTACAGTCGTTACATGCTACATTCAAGACTTCTTTACAACCATCATCATCAACGACGAAATTCGGTAGGAGAAAGAAGGTAAATATACGTCCTATTCGATGGCGTTAGAGCTAGCTGTTGTTAGCCTCTGCATGCGCCAAGCTCAAAATACCCAGCTTTGCAGCATTAATTACTATGGTATAACATTAAAACTGATGCCCCTGACCCCGCCTCCGACGTAAGCGTGACGAATGCGGCGCTTGCTTTCTAGAGCGAAAACTTGAAACGGACCGGATTCCGGAGCTTAGAGGCGGCTCCGCTGCTGTGTGAACAGGAAAAACGGTGCTTTTCAAGCTCCAGCTCCGAACCGGCCCTGGAACCGCGTTGGTGTGAAAGGGGTATGAGAGATATTTGGTTAAAAATAACACAATGGTGCTCTAGGAGGAGATTCAGGTGATAAGGTGGGAAGGTGGGGGGGTTACCTTGGTTGGTGATTAGCTAATGGTTACACAAGCCAAAAAATCTTTATGACATCATAAAGTGGCCAGAATCTGATCAGCTCATTTTTATATAGATGGATCAGGACAAAAAGAGAGATAATCTTTTTTCCTGAAACTTTCAGAATCTCTTTACACATAGGGGACACATGTTTATATATACAAGACATGAAAAAGTGGATTTTGCATAATAGGTGACCTTTAAAGGAAACCGCATTTTAGCCTTCAAAGACAAAATATATAGAAAAAATAACAAAACAGGATTTTGAGTCCTTTCACTTTACCTGGTTTAACCACCAGTGTGCCGCTGTCAGTACTGGTCTGCCCCTTACTGTCAGTCACAGTCAGGGTGAATCTGTACTTCCCCTCCACCAGGTTCCCCAAAAAAAGCACTGGCTGGTGGTTAGAGTTGTTCAGTACATCCTATTGGAACACAACACAAAGAGGTGTTAACATGTTTCCCTTTGAATGTTTTTTCTTGCGTTCTTTTTTTCTTGTAAAGTGGATTATTTTCAGTTTTGCGAACTACATTACCCCAGCTGCAGGGCTGCTATCGTCTCTGGTCCACAGGTAGCTGACTCCACCCTTGTCGTCAGTGGAGTGGGATCCATCCAGAGAGGCTGTCCTGGCGGGCAGAGCGATGGTCGGACTCGACCCAACGTGAGCCACTGGAGGCTGGTCCAGTTCTGGAGGAAAATATACATGATCATTCACTGAGGTGGCTGCATTGACAGAGAGTTGGGTTAGTTGTTAGAGAATTAACTCTGCCACCACAAATATCAGTTGCAATTATCAAAGTAAAAAAATGCTAGCACACCAAAACAGCAGGCGTTGCACATGTCTTTGCATCTTCAAGTTTAATACTTTGGTAAATTTGTTTGGATGTGAGCTGCACAACCAAACAAAAATACTTGAGTGTACATATTGACAAGGAGAGTCTTTGACCCAAGGGAAACTAAGTCATTCTTAATCCCATAGCTTTTCAACCTTCACTTATTTTATAATATTATAATACTTTGTGGAATATTTTTATATTCATCCTATGTAGTTTGGTACAGAATATTGAAGGATGTATATTATGTGTGTGTACAGGAAATGCTTATGTGCATATACTGTGTTTGTAACTATGTATGTGTAATGTGTTTACTTATCAGATATACAGTATTTCTGAAAATGTTTGTTGTGGATTTTATAAAGGAAATGGCTAAAAGAGTTAAAAAATTAACAAACCAATTAAACAATAATGAGTTAGTATGCTCGGGCATGTATTCTTAACTCATCTTAGTCATGGTAATTCCAAAAGTAATCACCTTCTGGTGAGAAATAAAAACATTTGAAGTTAGAACAGAGCTCTCGTTTTTTATAAAGAGTCAAAAGGATTGAACAGAATCCATCACTTCCAGCTTCACAACAGAACGCCTGCTACAGATATCTGACACACAGAAACACAAATAATGTATACAGAGAGACAGGTATACACATTTCTCTCCACAGAAGAGAAACCACAGGGTCAGCAACTGTAAGGTCAAAACAACAACAAGAATATGACTGGAATTTATCACACATTCTAAATCAATGACAATCTCAAACAAAAATGACAAGACCAAAACGACCTCTGCTTCAAAACAAACACAGAATGACACTTAAAATGAATTTAACAGTGGATAATTCATCTATAATCATCACCTGTCTGACTCCGACTTTAGTTATCTTATTTGCTTATGAGAGATGGAATAGTCTGCACACACTAATATCTACTAACCTTCTCTGACGATCACCGTGACGATGTCGCTGCTCTGCAGATTCCTGTCATCCGTCACGGTCAGGGTGAACTCATACGTGCCCACCTCGAGACCTGTCACCGTGGCAACAGCACTGTCTGCATTTTCGATCTTCACACCATCAGGACCCCTGGAGAATGGACAGAAACGGAAAGAGGGTCAAAGGAAACATCCTGATACTGAACAATACAAACATTCTTGTGCATTTGAATTAAACTGTATATGCAATGAAGCTTTTATCCGATTATGTTTCAATTATTAAATCAACTACCGTAATTTTCGGACTATAAGCCGCGCCTTTTTTCCCATTTTCGACCCTGCGGCTTATATAACGGTGCGGCTAATCTATGGATTTTTACAGCTAACGGCCACTAGGGGACCTCCTAAATCTATGGATTTTACAGGTTACAGTCCACCACCTTTAACTCTATGGGCTCTATGGCCGGTCCGCGCACCCCACCTTTAAGCGGCGGGCTCCAGCAGGAAAAGCTGGAGGCCGGAAAAGAGTGAGACAGGTAGCGCGCAAAAGTAAAAGTGGAACCGAGAGTGGTACGAGAGACAGAACGAGAGCAAGACAGACAGACATTACGAGAGCGAGACAGTTTGTCCCCGTACCACTGGTTGAAAACCGCTGCTGTAGATCACTGCCGGTACGTGCGCTGGGAGCGCACCGTTTAAGTTTGAAAGTTGAAAAGTTTGTGTGTCTGAAACGCTATGTGATGCAGTACAGTTTACACNGCACATATTAAACCTGGAACTAACAAAGCTTAAATTATTGCCTATAAAAACAACATTAAACATTAAATTAATCCGTTGCATTCATTTCTTATGGCTCTATCTGCAGCTTTTCCAGAGTCATTTCTTATGATTACATTTTCCACAGGCCAACAAAACTATTTCCCTCAAAGAGAAAACCAAACATGCCCTGTTGTCGTGAGAGAGAAAGTGCAGAAGGAAACATCCATTAAACTCAGTGTGCTGCTCTGTGATGCTAGCTCAGATACTTGGCATCTCATCTTGGGTGCAAGGTCATCAATGTTTGGGCTCAGGCTCTGAGCTGAGGAGACCCTCAGGATTGAGTGAAGGTGTGCGTGTAATATACCGGCGGGCCAGATCTAATAGTAATTTTAAATGATCCTGCGGGCCGAAATTAAATCCACCAAGGGCCTGATTTGGCCTTGAGTTTGACACATGTGCAATAGACATTAACATGCTTCAAGCTTTTTCTGTTTGTAACTTGTTGGTGTTTCTTTGCCCAATGATGTCCTTAACGCTGTCACTTATTGATGTTCCTGCTATATAATAACACTTATTCTAATTGATGTTTTTCTGTTTTACTGATGGCTGAGTCTGTTTTGTTGTTATGCTGCAAGTCAGATTTCCTTTGCAGAACTATAATCAATTACTGAACCGTCAACAAGTTGATTTATGGATCATTATTAAATATAAAAGCCATTCATGACTACCAGTCTGCCACTTTAAACCTTAAAGGTGGGGTATGTAATTTATCTCAGAAACACTTTTTGTTACATTCCATGGAATGCTCTTAACATCCCGATAGCAATACATATATTAAATACTTTTACAATAAATACATAAAAAAATGTCATCTGTGGAAGCCGTAGCGCTGTAAAAAGCACGACCAATCATTTTAGCCGGCCCGGCTAAAATAACTTGATGGCCTAGCTGTCCTGTCAGCCTTCCATCTTTGCACAAACTTATCTCGTGCCCTCATTGTTCNGAGTCATCGGCTGCTCACTATGCTTCGTGCAAAAAAGGAAAGATATATTCTAGCCTCAAAAATATGAGGATTTATACATATTCTTTATAATTGGTACTGTAAAGGCTCAACAAACAAAAAACAAATTGTCATCACCTTGGACTGAACGTTTAATCGTACAAACAAAAATTAAGAATAATCAACAATGAACTAAATTAATTTCATTGCAGCCCTAGAATAAGATGCAAGTGACAAAAAGAGTGGGGGAGTAAAGTAAAGTACTCCGGTGTGAAAAAACCTAATGTATCACATGAAATATGTGACACATTAGGCGCTTTCACACCAGAGTACTTTTCCCAGGAATAGCTCTGATAGTTCCTGGGCCTATTGAGTCCATTTACCTCGTAATTTTACATTTGCGCTCATGATCATCTGCATCAGGGAGCTTCCTCTTTTTCTTCACAGGCATCACTGAACCTTTGATAGGCTTCGCTAAAAACAAGAAAAAAACATCTTGTCAGGGGGTTATGAGATTAACATCTGCCCTACACAAGTGGTTATGACAATTTATAATTATCCATCTAAAGATATGATGAAATGTGGAGGATGAAGGTCATACCTGTGTACTTCTGGCTGCCTTGGCCATTCAAATCTAAGGGATTCTAGAATAAAATAAATCACAATCTCAGGTAAAAAGCAACACGCTGTGAAATATGTTATCCAGTCAGGGGTAACCAGAACATACTAGCACAGAGGCTGAGCAATGAACTAAAAATAAATAAATAGATATATATATATATATATATATATATTTAAAAATAAAACAGGACTACTTACGAGCTTGTCCAGCGTAACTGATGCTGAGCTGATGCCTGTCAGGCGGCACTGATGGATGCTCCAAGTTGACACCTGTGGACACCTGAATAATGACATACTTATGTTATTAGTACTCATAGAATTATGAATTTGATAACAAAAATAAAATAAAACATTTATTTTTGTTCCAACCTAGCTGAAAATGTGGTCACAGGTTTTTGAAAGAGTCTCATTAACACAATGTAAAACATACCTACAGAGCAAAACCAGCATCAAAATGACAAGATGGTGTCTAGATTATGGCATATAAAAAAAAAAAGGTAAGAAAATGTCAAAGCCCAATGTGATTTCTTTTTGATATCTTGTTAGGTCAGTCCTGAACCCAAATATTTATTTAATATGATTTAAAAATGGAAGAAATCTCAATTCCTGAGGCTGAAAACAGCCCCCCTGTCATGTGGACCACTGGCATGTTTTAGTGGGTTTTTTTTAATTCCATTTTATGTTCACACATATTTTGCTTATTGAATACAATTATTGTATCCATTGGTGGACGATACTCGAGGAACTTTTTTCAAGTACTTAGTCAATATTGAAGTACTTGTATTTCGTGCAATTATATACTTCTACTTCATCTCCGCAGGAAATATTTCACTTTTTACTTCAGATTATTCATATTACCTAATAAATGATGATGTATTTTAAAAGGAAAAGCTACTAAAGCCAGTAGTATACAAAGTACACATTGAGAAACTAAAGTATTAAAGTGCTCTGACATGTGTTCATTAGTGATGAAATAAAATAATATTCTGTAATAATATAACGCTTTTGTTGTAGATCTTTGGCATTATTGTACTTCTTGCAACATGTTGGTGATAATAATTATTTAAATTGAATTAATCAATTCAGATTTTTAGGTTCAATGGCTTATTTATTGACTATAATAATACGAGTAAGTATTAAGTAGTACATTAAAATAAAATCTCACTTTAAAGTTTACACAGAATAAATGTAGTTATTATGTGAGCTATTATAACATGTAATGTTGTCTGAAGTTATTTTAAAATGTAATTGTTGACCACGGACCTGTTTAATGCAACTGTACATTTTATGAGTTCTTAGGCTATTCAGTAATTTGCTATGTAATATCTTAAACTGTATCTGTTTGGTTTGAATAATTCCTGTTGACCTGTATTATTCTAATGTTGTGGTATAACTGATTTAAAACTCAAAGTAAACGGCTGTGGGACTCTTCCGTTGATGCTAGCTTAACATGGCTACCGAGGTTAGGATAACTAATGTTTCACATTCAGAGCAGACCTCGATATGGTTCAGCACCAGAGGAACCTGACGGTCCGCTTCACACACATTGTGATGTTCGTTCTGTTAAAAGGCTCACTTTGCGCTGGGGGGCACTTCTTTTGTCTGTAAGCTAGCGGCGCTACACTGCGAACGTTAGCACATTTGTTAACACCCAGGCGTCAAAGGCTCATGAAATCTACCATTCATAACGTAGGACATAATTATTGCTCTTACTAATCGACATAGAGGAAGTCATTAAACAAATTCCAACCACTTACCTATTTCTTACTCTTTGGCTGACAAATCAGTTCCACCTGCTTTGCAACACCGGGGTCGGTCTATCCTGCTGTCGCCGGCGTTTCCGGGGCAGCGGAAGATACCACTGCTGCTTTATGGGGGGTAAATGTAAGAGAAATAAACGTTCCAGTGACGAGGAAATTCTTTGCATTCACACGTTGTTACGTTGACCCTATTAGAAAACAATATTTAGAATATGATTTAAGTAAATAATGTTTTATTTTAGGCATTTAGTATTCCACGATAAATATAAAAGCTATATCGACCAACCGGCCGGACTGAAGAAAGTGAACCAGCCTCTTCTTAAAGAAACAGTCCTTTATTTTTAGCATTCACATGTGTTTCTGGACTCCGATACACTGACCGATGAGGACCAAATAATGTGAGGGCTATGTACTGTCGGTTGGATGGGACTCAGGGCCGGTGTCGGTACCAGATGTGTTCGGGGTACCATCATGGATGTATAATAAGAAGGTACCATATGTGTTCGGGGGCCGTCTCTTACCAATGACGTCACGCATTGTACGCATTGTGATTCGCTGTACGGTAATTTACCCAGGGCAGAGCCCTAGAAAGATAAGAGTTACGACACTCTTTCGCCGCGTTCACACCACAGTACTTTTCCCACTTTAGTTCCGATATAGTTCCGAAATGTCGCGTTCACACCAAAAAGAGCCGGAACTAAAATTAGTTAATGAGAACCTTTTTACCCCCTTTTCCGTCCCTGCTAGAGAGCAGGGACTTTCGTGGGAGAAATAGGAACCTTTTTTTTGCAAACCACGCCCCGTAAAACTCAAAAAATGTTTTGTGAAGCCGTCATTTTATTATCCTAGCATTAGCATTATTAGCATTAGCCAAGCGCAGAAACGCAAAGAGACTAACTTATGGCAACACAAAATAAAACATGGGAGTGGTGGAGATGAGGAGGTGTCGGCGTTCTGGCGATTTACTCGGAAGGCTTCAGTAGAAGCTGCTGGGAGTCCCAGCAGCTTCTACTGAAGCCAGTCCCCAAATCCTGGGACTTCCGGCCGGGGACTTCGGGTGGCAGTATACGGCGTGAAGTTGTTTGCGGCCCTGCCAGTAAACCCAAAGCAGAAGAAGAAGAAGTGACGTCAGCTTCATTTGCCTAATCCACCTTCTTATTATACATACATACATTATATGTTCTTATTATACATCCATGAATCCACCCCCAGGGACTTATTCCGGTGTGAACCAAGCGGCAAACTCTGGGGAAGAGCCGGGACGCCAATACGGAAGTGCTACACACTGCAGTTCATATATTGGCCGATAGGCGATGGCTGCAGAAAGGAGCAATTTCCATAGACCCCAATGTTAAAATGCCCAGTTTTACAGCAGAAAAAAACATGTTTCTACCCTTGGCTCAATACATTTTATTATCGATATAGTTAGATTCCACCTTCATGATTATGAATCTGTGAGTAAATTGTTTTCTAACGCGACCCTTTTATTTATATTAGGTCTTAAAGTTTTTGCATAAATTAGGGCGTGGTCACATTGAGTGACGGCTCTGTCAAGTGACTGCTGCTGCTAGCTTCTTGTCTCTCTGCTAGCTGCTCCGTGAAGCTAGCTACAGGGACTCTGCCTGGTCAGTTCATCCAGGAAACACAACTTGAAGCCGGCCGTGGTTGTTTGTTCTTCATGCTTATATATCGGGCTATTGTGACTCGCTCTGCGGTTAAAACAGACGTGAATGCGGTTTTGCGGTCAGTGAAATTCGAGTGCTTTATTTATGTGTTAATGATTTTAATCTACGTAATGAATGTTAAGGCTTGGGTTAGCGTGTAAGCGAGTGATAGCTACATCGGTGCTAACGATGCTAATCGTAGCCTCCAAGTTAAAATCATAGACTGTATATATAAAGGTTAAAACAAAATAGAGAAGTGTTAAGCGTAAAGTGGGATAATACTGTTGAACAAACAGATTCTGTTTGAGGTTGATAAAATAAGGTCATCCTTGTAACTTAGAGAGATATTTTATTATGTAGGTAGGAACTGTATGCATCGCTAAGGTTAATTTAAATTGGTTATGCTCAAGTATGTAGACAAGCTAATGTTGAAGTAGT